CTATGTTATTAGGAACCTTTTTTAATACTTCGGCGGTGATGAGGTCAAAACCTGGCGATTTTTTATTTTTCAGCTTTTGAATTTCCTGTTCTAGCTCTATTGGAGTAACAGGACGGATCTGAACCTCAGGTTCTAAAATCAAACGATTGTCTGTTTCGTCATAAGTTTCGTCATCTTGACCGCAGTTAGGCGTAAATGATTCCTCAAGATATTCAGCAAAAACATTTGCCTTGTCTAAGTCACTTCGGGCCCATTTACTGTTGTTAGCTCGTATAGCTGGGATGTGGCTGATGGGTCTTTTTAATTTATTTGTACATTTCCAAAGAGAGTAATCTGACGTTTTTTTATCTGAAAGCTGAGAAAGGTAATTATTAAACGAGCTATTTTTGAAAAGCTTAATTCTCCGTCGTAGCTTTTGTGTTATACGGTTTAGTGCCGCTTTATCTGTTGGAGATCGTGATTGCTGCCATTTTCGACGCAGAAAACGTTTCGTCCGAAGAGTTGATACGATTTCATTAGGAAAGTTGATAGCGTGATTATGTCGTTGAATGGATGGGGTGCAACTCCATGCTGCACGTTGTATTGTCTGCGTGATTTTGAGGGTTTCTAGTTCAATTTCATCGACAGTTTCAAGTACACCGTGAAGATAATTTTCGGCCTCGAGTATGTCTTTAAAATAACTCCAGTCAGTATATTTGTTAGTTAGGTAGGGTGACGGAAGTTTTTTGGTCATTTGTTGTCCCAAAACTAGAATAACCGGAGAATGATCTGAATTGAGGTCGTACATAGTGTTCACTTGGGCATATGTGGGTGCAATTTTACGTGTAATGAAGAAATCAATAAGATCAGGAATCTTGGACGAATCAGTGGGCCAGTATGTTGGCGTTCCACTAGTTAAAAAGTCACAGTGCATACTGTTCGCTGCTTTCAGTAGTTCTCTTCCTTTGGTTGTTGTGAGGCGTGAACCCCAATGTGTGTTTTTTGCATTAAAGTCTCCTCCGATGATGAATTTTTCGCCTAAGTGTTTAAAGAGTATTTCATATTGTGAGGACTTGACAGAGTGTCTTGGTGGACTGTACAATGCAGCAACATTCAAGACTTGGTACTGGAATTCCACATTTACTGCTACCATTTGAAATTCATCAGATGACAGCTTGCAGTATTCATAATGTTTAATATTCGTTTTGATTATGACAGCACTGCCTCCACGGGCACAGTTGTTTGGATGAGTTGCGTGGTACACATCATAACCATTTATATTGAAATATGATTGGTTCGTGAGGTGGGTTTCTGCGATAAGGCATATATCTATGTTCTCAGTTTTGAGGACCGCTTCTAGTTCATTTTTGTGTTGAAACAACCCGTTGGCGTTCCAGAGCATAATCTTGGTAAGTTTAGACATGTTGGATTTTTGTACTCTTTTCAAGGAGTTGAAGGCGGCTCTCAAGTTGCTTATTAAAAGTTTCCTGAGCATTAAGTTTGTCCAGGATTTTTAATAGTAAGCTATTAGTGTCTTGAGTCGATGGTAACTCGGTAGAACCACTTTTCAGAACTTGAGCGAAAGTTTGATTACTTTTTTGCGTATGCATTGCTGTATCCGCAGCATCTACATTACTAGTGAATTGAGGATTTCGTTTTCTTTGTGTATCCCTAATTTTTTGGAGTTGCTTGGCAACTATACATCCTCGGTAGTTAGCTGGGTGAGATTCACCACAATTGCAGCATTTCGGTATTTCTTCAGCAGGTTTGGGACAGTCAATCGTGCTATGCAAGCCTGTGCATTTAACGCAGCGTGGGACTTTTGAACAGAAGTTTTTTGTGTGGTTGAAAGATTGGCAGGATGTACATTGAGGAATAAGTGGAGAACTTTTGACTGGTTCGATCTTGACAGTAGTATTAAGAATTGTTTTGATTTCGTAGATTTTTTTAATATCTTGGGTGGAATCGAATGTGAGCAAAAACATATCTAGTGACTCTTTCGTTTTATACTTAAGCTTAATATTCTTGTATTAAGAAAATGTATGTTATATTCCCCTAAGTGTAGTTATATATAAAGAATTACTTTATAATTACTCTTATTAAAAATAGTTTTTCATTTAAGTTTACTAAATTACTTTTTCATTTGCTTAAACACGCAGAACTCATTTAAAAATAATTTCTTTTCTTTAAGTTTCAAGTATATTTCAACATGGTTTTCTGGAAATGTGTTCCCTTATAATGCAGCCCGAAGAGGTAAAAGTGCTTAAAATATGCACTTCAGCTTATGATTTATTAAGTAAACATTTTTCTAGGAATTTTTATGCATATTTTTAAAAGCCCACACTTCTTAGCGCTCAGTCATCGCAACAGGGAAAGGCACCAACATTGATTTCCGTTTTTTGTGTGAATTTATTTTTTCCTTTCGCCATTTTTTAAACGTGTAAAGAAATTCAAAGAAGGATGCGCTTTGTTGAAGTCTCCCCATCCTTTCAAGCTTTTCAGTGATTTCTCTTGCAATTTGATTTTTTAATTGGTGGTTCATTGTGGGCGTTGGGCACTGGGCGTCAAAAATTGCATGTTCAAACTTAATGTGGGTGTAATATGCGTTATATTGCGCTTTATGCTTTCGAGAGAAATTAAAATATTTTAAAACTTTTAATAGTTTGGAAAATTTTGTTATCCTTTTTACAGCTTTGCTTTTAAATTTGAGTTGTTTTAAATACAGCTGAGTTTCATAAAGAAAAATATGGTTTAAAAAGTAAATACTTTGTTGCACTTTTTATGGATTATGAAAATAACATACCTTGTTATAATACGTAATAATTTAAAACCTAACAATATACTATATCCTCTTATTTTTTTATTAAACTGCTATACTTTTAATGTTTCATGGATAAAAAAAACAATGTATTTTAAAAAATTAAATTTCCTTAAACCAATTTAGTTAATTGATTTATTTTTATAACTTATGTTTTATTATAAACTATATTTAAAAGCTTTGCTTAATTGTTTCGCATATACTAAACAGTACATGAAAGTATGGTTCTTTACCATAGATAAAAAATTTAAATAAATGTTGTTACGAAACTGGGCACAAAGTATTCGGCATTTGTAGTCAATATGGAAATAAAACTTTTTTAATTTAAAAATAATTATAAAATCATTTCTTTTTTCCGCCTCAGATTTTTTAAGCCAAAACCATCATTTATTTATTATAACTTATCGGCTAACTGAAGCTTTGTCACTGTCATGGCTCCATAACTACACACGTGGTTATCGACCAATGCCTACGGTTAATATTAAGGGCAACTGAGACCACCGATAAACGCTCTCCACTAGTTTTCATCGAGCCTGGTGTTAAAGTCAATACGATTTATCATCGGGAAAATTTTACTCTAAAACAAAATGAAATGATAAAACATGAATGTTCCCACAAGACTCAGCCAAGCCAATACAACCAAGTCTCCATACGTCTGCATTTTTTAGCAAGAGGCTACAATAATAATATCTCTTTAAAATAAAGAATACCCGTAAAATCTAAATTATTCATGATTTGTTTGGATCTACTGATTATCCTTAACTATTTATTTGCATTCTTCTATAAGTCTTAAATTTAAATACGTGTTCTAATCAAACTTATAAAGCATAATTAATGAATTCTTTTGAAAATAACTATTAAATAATAATTATACACTTTTTAAAGTAAAGAAACACTACATATATGCTGTGAATTTTTAGGAGCTCCCGAAAATTTTATTGTAATATCAAAAATATATATATCAGTCCCACAATATAACTCTTTCATCGCACTTATCGTAAAAGTTAATAGTCACCTACCATACACGACAGCAAATATCATAATTTCCAGCTATAACTGATCTTTGGCTGCAGCATACTAAACCACCTCAATGGAAGATGAATCCTAAGGAATGAAGCGACGCAGCCGATTTACAACTTTTTTAGCAGTTCTTTTCGCAGATTCGATAAAACTGCTGGAAACAATAGGATTCTCTGTCATATCATTCTCTTCGGAATCCTGTTCTATGGTAGAAGCAGCTGGACTATAACCTTCAGTATTAGATTGTTCATAAAACATTGAAACCTTGCATTTCTCTGCTTCATATGACAAGCTCTTTAAGGTGTCTTTACTTAAGTTATATGCTGAAGAGTCTTCAGTTAATTTTGGACGTAAGCTAGTTAACTGTAGTGTATTATTGGTGAGACTGGCTGTCGCTTCCGTCATATATTTTATACGATCTTCTTCTATTTTTTTGAGGTTTTCTAAATGATTTTTCTGGTATTCGTTTGAATTAAATTTTGAAACTAAATGATATATACTACGATGCATTGTATTAATTTTAAGGGTTGATCCAAATAGTTTTCTTTACTTAATAATATTTGAAAAAATATATATGTACTATAATTTTTTTTTCTGTTGAAAAAGCAAATTTTTGTTTTTTAAATAAACTTTTAAAATATTAACTAGTTAACTTTGATGTGGGTTCTTTCAACAGGTAAAAATTACTTATCACCTACTAAGTAAAGTGTTAGTTGGATTTATCAATCAGGTTTACTTTTTGAATATGAGGGATCTCTAGTAGCCAGTTGTAAAGTATGACATACAATGCAATCAATAAGTCTTTTTATGATAGTCGATGAATGTTACATTTCGTGCTTTTTAAGCTAGGGAAGCTGTAACTTTAACAGTCGACTGTTGCGCTTATGATTATTTTGGAGTGCCTTCTCCGGTTGCTCTCCACTCAGCTGACTACCGTGTTGATTCCAAAATAATGTGATAGATACATGTTTGAATTGCAGTTACCAATCAATGTAAAACATTCTTTTTCTCCGATTAAATAGCTTCAAATAGCTCTTTGAATCATCCACACGTTTTTGCTTTTGATCAACTATGAGCAGATGCGGCAGCCATTTTGATAGCAACTTTAAAAAATTCCTATAAGTTCCTTTGATATGTTAAGAGAACTAGCTATATCACTCAACTTTATCTCACAATTTTTCAAAACAACTTTGTGGGTGTTTTTAACGCATAATTTGGACGATCGAGGCGTAGGACCTCTTCAATGGCTGTACAGCCATATTCAAACTCTGTAAACCAACGATCAAGGCTTGCTGTTGATGGAGTATAATTTGAATAATATTTAAAAAAACTAGCGTTGGATTGAACGGTATTTTTTTCCATTAAAAAGCAATGATAAATTAATACGTGAAATTGTTTTGAATCCATTGTTCCAAAAATAACAAAAGTAGCTTACTAAAAAGTAGTAACTTATAAATTAAACGTCAAATTGTATTAAAATTATGAATATAATTGCTTGAAGGTAGTACTTTCCAAAAACCATGTAGTTTTTCATGGTCGTTAAAAGACGACATATATATGAAAACCCTGAGACTTTTCAACTGATGTAGTTTTATAAATAATTTATATTTAAATAATATGATTAATATGTTTTTTTCTTTCACCGTAGAAGAGATCCAGAAACCTTAAGACCGTTTGAATAAGAGATATGTTGAATAACTATAAATTCTGGTTTAATATAGAATAAGAAAAAGTCACTCACACTTCAAAAAGTTAGTTACTAAGCCAATACGTCTTCTTATATATTTCAAGGTTTTGTGATTAATGATAGCACTATAATATTGCATATATGAAAGAATCAATATATAATTATGTAAATATATATAAATTATTAATTATTTTTAATATGAGATATATATATATATCTGAGCACTTATTTTTTACTATAACTTTTTGGTGAACGATATGATCTTTCATTATGGTACCCTTACTTTTTAAGTCAACTCGTTCTGATTTAATTTCAAAATTCCTAACTATATATAAAAGTAATTAAATATATTCATAGTTAACGGTAAAAAAAAACATTTTATTAAATTTTTAATTCTTTTTTTTTTTGTTCATTTTTTTTGTTCCCTTTAGCTACTTTTAATTAAATATTAATATTTTTACTTTATTATTTTAAATACGAGTTTTTCAATTAACTATTATATAATGTATTTTTTTCAATTTTTGTTGACTTTAAAATTTTAATTGAGCGCATTTCCTTTTCCGTCCTGTTTCCGCCATTTTCACAGTTGCCACTCGCAGATCGTGTAATATTTGCATTTGAGTTGTTTTGCTTCATACTGTACAATATTAGTACTCCACACTTTTGTATATGTATTACCTTATCATACTGTACTTACTACAATGTAAACTTATTTTTACCCAAAAAAAATTAAGTTGAAAGCAACTCCCTAACTTCCTTTCATTAAAGCAGAGGACAGTAGGGCAGAGCAGTAATCACTTTTTATGCAGCGGTTAGAATCGAGAACTACATCAAAACAACCGCAGGACATAACTGCAAACTTGCTCCTTAAGGCAAAATGTCTTCTCCAATGTGTATGCCGGTGTACTATATATACTATTTAGTATTTAAAGTTGCTTTCGAAGTTTGTTTTCCTTTTGTGAAAAATCACTATTCAAATTTAATTAGTCCAAACAAAGTCGGACGAAGCGCACTTGACCTGCTGGGCTTAGAACCAAACTTCTAATGTCGCACTCTTTTGCCTTCTATGGAGGTGTCATGTACATCCGGTATGTCATTCGTATTCGTTTAATTCCATGTACATACATTCTATATAAAGCAAAGGTGAATTTGTTTAATTATTCATACAGAGTAACAGGAAAGCAGAATATTTCGTTAACTAAATCACCCTCTTTGGGTAGTGAAGTTAATGAAGTACACGTTTTTAATATGGAATCAAGTTTTCTGAAATTTTTGAGTACAACGTTAGCCATGAAGATTATAGTTATATATTTGATGATATCAAATTATACAAAATAGTTCCCCAATATTGTTTGACATAAGATGTATCAAATAACACAATGTCTCTTAAAAGAGTTTTCTTCCAAGAAGTAGCATGAAAAGAAATAAAGGACGTCATATAACAGGGCACAGATCAACTAAACCATTTAGTAAGAATACCTCTCGATAGAGCAGTGACATAAAGAAAAAGCATGGATAAATATAGAAGACTTCAAGCTCACAGATTTAGAAAACCATTTTGTAAGTATGTTACGCCTCTCAAAAAAATATTGATGCAAAGAAGACGTATGAAAAAAATAAATGATATCAAATTACAGCGCATACAGTGACTAACAGATCTATTAAAAATGACTACAAATGGAGTTACGTTACAAGAAACAGCATTTAGGAAAAATCGAGAAAGATTCAAAGAAAGATGACTTGACACTATGTAAACTGGCCTAAGATAAATGAATAAAAGAAATATTACTACATAATATTCATGTAGTAAAGGAAAAGTAAAATAACACTTATAAAATAATCTTTAATTATAAAAGTTAGTTTTAGGAAGAAGATTAAACTCTTACCTACTCTTCAGCGATATTACTCACACCAAAAACTATCCAGCTCCTTAAGTAAATCAAACATCTGTAGTTTTAGGAAGGAGTAAGTACTGTTTAAAACACAAAATTTTATACCTAGATCGTAAAAGAATATGACCAGTTGAAAATATATGGACATTTAGATGAAGTCACAAAAGATAGACGATCTTCCAGCTTTCAGAGAATTCACTTTTAAGCCCATGTTTATATTACGTTCATTGGACAGCGAATTTATTTCCAAAATTTCTTTTTTAAAAATTTCAAAGAAAGGTAAATAAAATTATTAATTGGTTGAACATTTTTGAACCAACCCTAACAGAAAATATACCACTTATAGTACATACAGACTGATTCGAGAAACATGAACAATCACACTTGTTAAAGAAACCAACTTACCACAAAACAAGGAAATGAAATATCTAATCATATAAATTAATTAAAAACTGAAGTTGAAGACGTAGATTACATTAAATTTAGAATGTAATGCACTGGTCTTATAAGATAAAGCAGTATAAGCTCATCACGCATATAACGCAGTGAGTTCCTGCCATGCAACTGGAACTCTTGCAACATACATAAAAAAGTCTCAAAAAATGAAAATTTTTTACTTACCGATAAACAGTTAGACGACTTGACAAGAAAGTATTTCTCTAATGATCTGTCTTTTATTGTAAGTTTCTATAACTTCTGCAATCTACAATTCTTCTTCGTAGCTTCTCGAGTGACCTCTGGATTACTTCCTTCATTTATTTGAGTTTCCAACAACTGATCTCTCTATACAGAGCACTTACGAATTAAGTGACCTCCATTTGTTATTAGCTAGCTAAAGAGAATAGAGGTAAATACTTCGCTTGACGATCTCTAGGAGAGTATCGAATGGTACCTCTAAGGACACTACCTGAGAAACACCAGAAGGCCCTTAAATCTCATGTTTTTTAATTTCTTCAATGTTCAATATTCTACTATTAGCAATTTATATATTTATAAATCTGCAATAATTATTTTATTATTATAGTCAAATTAAACCCCTCAGTGAATTTTTACTCCATTAGTCATTTTACTAATTAAGCCCAACAGCAACCTGCGCTTACAAAATATGTCCTGTTAAGTTGAATTTTATTTTATTAAAAATTAAATGGCGATTAACATTTTTTTCTCTACTAAATTTAAAAAAAAATCGCAACAGTTTTAAACTTTTGTCCTTTTAAATTTTTTTGTGGTCCTCGCCTGGCTCATAAATGGTCAACAGATTTTCTATCATTAACGCTGTTATTTCGTTGATGCAGTTGCCAATGAGGCTGCCGTTTATGATGCCACTCTCGTCGAGGCTGAGGCTTTACTTAATTCTGCTCCACTGATGACTTCACTGACCATCAAAAATTAAAATAAAATTAAAAAGGAGCAGAGGCTTGCACTTTTTCCAGTGATTACCTTTTAATGCTGACAACAACATAAACAAAAACGTATGCTGGCAAACAGGCAACACTGGTAACATTGGCAACACTGGCTACGTTGGCTGCATTGGCTATATTATGGCTACATTGGCTACATTGACAACATATGCAACTGACAAGAAATACAAAATATTGAGCTTATGTAAAATATTTATTAAATACAAAATTATTGCAGCGGCACATTTGTCGGTCAGCGGGTGCAACACGACACATGATTCATGCCCCTCATGTCAGTGTCATTGTGTGTGCAACATTTGTGTGTCATTAAATTAATTTGTCAAAATGTATGAAAAAAACAATAAATTATATTTTCGTTTATTTTTTTTTCATTTAATACTTTTTTATTATTTTTTATTTTTTGCTTTTTTTTCTTCTATTTTGGACGTCTGTTTTCAGATTTCAGTTATTTTCCCCTTTCGAATTTTCCCTGGCATCACTCATATTAACTGTTTAATGTCAGCAGTTTTTCAGTGGGTTTCAGTCGCTTGTTATTTTTTCTATTATTTATTATTATTTTTTATGATAAATT